GAGTTTCATTCCATAACAAATTAAAATTCAGAATTAAAAAATTATATTTTTAAATTTGCATTTATAAATACATATGCTATACAGGGTTTATTTTTTTTTAATTGCGTATAATAGAAGTAGTTATATAAACAAATTTTTCAAAAAACTCAAAAGTAAGTTTTGTACTTTCTTGTTTTTACAAAGGAGCAATAAGACCAACCCTAAGTTAATTAAATTAATTTTCTGAATCTTTTAAACTCTTTGTTTTATTCTCTTGCCCTTTTTTGATTGATTTTTCTTAATTTTTTTTCGAAAAATTATTTAAGAGAAAATTGTACCGTTTTGGAACATTAAATTACAAAACCATACTAAAAAACAACTGCTATTTTCTTTTTATCCCTTTGTTCGAACAAAAAAGTAAAAAAAAATACTGTTAAATATTTATTTAGGATTGCACAAAAAGTGTTAAATGAAGAACCCACCTTTTTAATTACTTTATTCCGGAACACCCTGTATAGAAGTTTGTTTTATAAATATTTGTATTTATTGGTCAAATTCCAGGATTAAACAAATAACGGCGATTTCAATAATGGCCATTATTATCAATATACTAGTATTTTAAATATGATCAGAGTATTTGCCTGTACAAAAATTGTTAATAACTTAAAAAAAAAATTAGGAACATTCGTTATATGGTAACTGAATAATATCTAATTTAGTGTTAAAATGATCTCCAAAATTCATTGGAGAAATAAATATCACAAAATCAAGAGATATCCGCACCTCTGAACTGATTAAGCAAAATGAGAAGGATTATGGGTCAATAAGTCCAACAATATCCCCAAGTAACAATCTTCCTGAAAAGCCGAAGCTTTAATCTACATGGCGTAAACGTGAGCAAGGATAAAATTAACTAGATGAAAATTATGTTGCCCATAGTCTTGGCAAACGAGCAAAAGAGGAGATTAGAAGGTCCTACTGGACATGAAAAGATTTTACCTGGCTTAATTACGTTTGGACCTTAAAAAAATGCGAACTGAGAATAATCATTCGACTAACAGCTCAGTTTTCTGTATCTGCAACGTGTGGAGAGTGGCACTTAGGCCTCACTAGTTCCATTGCATCCTGCTAAGATACTAGGCACCTCCTAGATCGTGAGACAGCCTACAGATTTGATGTAGTTGACAAAGTCGCTAATCTTCTAATAAATGAGAGCGTCAGGCAATTGTAGAGGATATGTTCGATGGTCTCATCTTCTTGTTCGCACCCCCTGCAGAGTGCGGTTCCTCCATGCTATGGAGATGCTTCCGTACTTGGCAATTACCAGTCAGAATGCCTGTGATCAGGCGCAGATTCTGTCTAGTCATAGTTAAGTAACTGTTTGCTGTAATGTTGTCAGGATAACTTAAAATCTCCCTGGCAACTAAGCAGCTTCTTTATTTAATCCCGTCTTGCCTTAAATTTCACAAGGAAATATTCTTTAATTAGGTTTGTCACTACCGATGTTGTCAGTCCAATAGAAGGAACAGGTCCAAAAGGTATTTGGTTGCTTTCTTGGCTAGTGAATCAGCAAGGCAGTTAACTTTTGATGTAGCATGACCTTTAATCCATCTTAAGGTGACCACATTATAGATAAATACTTTGGCCAAAGCTTCGGAACATTCTAGTACTACCAACCCTGAGTAAATTTGTGATATATACAGGATGATTAGAACTTGTCTGCTACCTGTATAAATGATTATATTGTTCCTTTCAGCGATATTTTTTTTGGTAACTTTTGATGTTTTCAGAATCCCTGTGAGCTCGGTTTGAACTACACTGGCACCATTTTATGTTTAGGTTTAAGGATCTGGAGTAATCTAACCTAAGCATAATTTTGTGAAAAACCATCTAACTTAACGGTGAAGAAGCCTCTGGAGACTCAAAGAACTGGAGGAGGCCCCAGTGGGGGGGCAGTGAAGACTCTGGAGACGAACAAGATGAAAACCAGCGTTTATGTAAACGAGTATAGATTAACATGCCAAAAGGGCCTAAGTCTATATCTCAGCTATTATTGATCCAATTTAAACGGGAAAAACAAGAAAGTAGGCGAAATTACAAGTAGATTAGCGCTAAAGAAAAAAATCATGTGCAATGCCTAAACGATCTAAGTCTAAATCTCAACTATTAGATTCAAATCAGAAAACCGGGGGAGTGGGGGAAATTCATTGTCGTTGTCTTCGCAACAAGGAAACTCTTTAATAAAAATACTCTTCGATCATTGTCGTATGTCATCGTTACTCTTTGTGTCGTTGGATATTAATAACAAAGTGAATATTAAAAATAGAATACTCCTCGTTCATTGAGTAACGCCATTGTTCATTGTCGTTGTATCCGTAACACGATTAATTTTTATTAAACATAAAACACTCTTCGTTCACTGTCGTACGTCATCGTCGTTACCTTGGTTGGATAATACTGACAAAAACAATATTAAAAATACTCTTCGTTCATTGTCGTATGTCATCATAACAATAAGGTTGGATACAATGAGACAAGTCTGTCTTTGTTCAGTACTGTATTGTCGTCGTTGGATATTAATAACAATGTAAATCTTTAGTAAAAATAAATACAAAAGCAATGCAACAACTACAGAGTGAAGCCATTACCCGCGAGTAGAATACTATATTTTTGCTGTGACTATTTAACAAAATAACACCGACACCGGACAATTGACCATTTTGACAGCTGCACCTACAAAGTGAAAGTGAAGTTGAGGTTGACGTATGTTGCCAGACAGATTTCATGTAAAATTTTCTGATTGGTTCTTAAATAGTTAAGTAATTACATTAGATTTTTTCTTTGGCTGAAAATAATTGAGTAATGAAAAACAAAAAAAAAAACACTGTATGAGTAACCACCTACATTTATAAATACAAAGTGAATATATACATATAGATCCTTGTTTTGTTTTAGAATCGTCGGTGTAGATACGAATCGTACCTGCCACTTCCGGCTCTTCTATTTGTTTTGTTATAACTTTATATGACTTATAGAAGATATATCCCGGTGAGAAGGAATCCATGTTCGCTTGAAGCAGTGGAAGCGTATTGAATTGAGCTCCTCCTGCCAAAAGCGACATCTCGTCTCAACCATGTAAATATCAAGGGAAGAAGAGTAAGAAAGACGTCCATGGCTCTGGTTGTTGTGGTTTTCATAGCTCCTGTTATAATGAGACATGCTATTCTTTGAATTTTTTCTAGTTTCTGGATAGCTCAGTGCCCTATTACTAAGACTATAAAACTAAATAATTTATGTACGTGTACGCGTTTTAGTTGAAGTTAAAATTATAAACGAACAGAACCACATTTAGAAAAATTACTACTTTTTCAGGAGACAATAACCTAAACTAAAATAGATTCATAAACTATCTTCAATTATCGATATAAAACAAAGACAATCCCTTAATAATGACTTACAGGCAAGGAGTGGGGGCTGCTATATTTAACAGAAAACGTCAAAGTATGTTATAGGCGGAAATATCCATCATCAATCTAACTAGCGTTGAATTATTTTATATCTAGATGCAATACAATAATTAATTAAAAAAAGGAATGAATATTTTGAACTAACTAGAAATATTTCTGTTTGATTGAAAATCTCAGGTGGTCGACCATATTTTTATTAAATTATTAAAACATTTAGTAATTATTCGAGGGCAACGTTAATTGAATTGGAATTGAACATGTCAAATTGGGAAAGATAAATACACATACAAAAGGACCGTGATAGTCTTGATGTCAAAACAAAGTTGATAAATTGTGTAGTCGTGAAAAAGAGAGATGTTGAAGTTTTAGTGAACTAAACCAAACTTCTAAAGTTACATTGAACGAAAACAAAGCACAAACCTAACTGCATTTTATGACAGCATTGACACACTTATTGCCAGGGTTACTTTGTTTAGAAAAATGATGTTTTTGCATGAAGTGTTGAAAGGTCTTAAACGACTCCTATGAAATCTACTATTTGACAATGCTCAAGGCTCTATACATTCACTTTCTTATTGATAAATGTAACTGGTTACTCATACAGTTTTTTTTTTTTCCATTACTCATATCAAACAAAATTGTTGCCTGTGGGCATTGATTTGGCAACACTATGGGCCTGGTGGTGGATTTGACAGGGTCAATTATAGATATAATTGTATAGATTGATCATCCAGTAAAAATATAGCTAACTAGCTGTTGCCCGCGGCCTTTCTCGCATGTAGTCGTGTTATTATTATAAAAAAATACATGACTTAGTTTTATTGTTTTTCATTTATTTTTATTAATTTTTTTTTATATTTATTCATTTTTATTTATTTTTACTCATTTTTAATTATTTTTAATTATTTTTAATTATTTTTAATTATTTTTATTCATTTTTATTCACTTTTATTCATTTTTATTTATTTATTTATTTTTATTCATTTGTATTCATTTTTATACATTTTTATTTATTTTTTTATTCACTTTTATTAATTTTTATTAAATTTTATTAATTTTTTATTAATTTTTTATTAATTAATTTTTATTAATTTTTAATAATTTTTAATAATTTTTAATAATTTTTAATAATTTTTAATAATTTTTAATAACTTTTAATAATTTTTAATAATTTTTAATAATTTTTAATAATTTTTAATAATTTTTAATAATTTTTAATAATTTTTAATAATTTTTAATAATTTTTAATAATTTTTAATAATTTTTAATAATTTTTAATAATTTTTAATAATTTTTAATAATTTTTAATAATTTTTAATAATTTTTAATAATTTTTAATAATTTTTAATAATTTTTAATAATTTTTAATAATTTTTAATAATTTTTAATAATTTTTATTAATTTTTCTAAATTTTTATTAAGGGGCTCCTCTAGTTTCTCGGTTGTTTTTTTACGGCTTTTTTCAATAATTTTTTACGGGCAAACCATCGAAATAACAAATCTCATTGTTTTTACATAATCTTTATTAACATTTAAATGAGCTTTACAAATTTTTTGAAGACAAAATATATAATAGAATCAAAGTTATAGTGGCCGACAAGAAGTGAAGGAGGTGCTTGATGGTGACCACGATATTTCAGAAACTACTGCACCGATATTGTTCACATTTATACGACATCTTTAATATGTTTAAGCCAGCGATTGAACTAGGATTATGATGATTGCTTTGATAGTTTTTTTTCTACGAGCTAGAAACTTAAGAAAAAATGAGTAAAAAATTGAATTTAATTTTCAAAAGTGTATAAAAAAAATAAATTTTTGTAATTTAGAATTCATTCTGGTTCAATCGCTAGTCTTAAATATAAAGATTAAAAGGCCGTTTGGTTTTTTGATTTTAGATAAGCAAAACAGCCGCAATCTTTGTCACCGTCAAGCATCTCCTTCACTTGATGTCTTCCTGTCAGCCACTATAACTTAGATTCTATTATATATGTTGTCTTCAAAAAATTTGTAAAGCTCACTTAAATGTTATTAAAGATTATGTAAAAACAATGAGATTTGTTATTTCGATGGTTCGTCCGTAAAAAATTATTGAAAAAGCCGTAGAAAAACAACCGAGAAACTAGGGGACCCCCTTAATTTTTAATAATTATTTTTTTTATTCAATTTTAGTTTATTTTTATGATACTACCATACAAAAATCTAAAAACCACAGAGCACGTCATTATTTATTTATGCTACAATTATTATTTTCAAGTTCCAACGTTCAAAACATTTATACTTCTATACAAATTTTTACCCCCGTTTTCCCCTCTTAAAATGTGAAATCCAAAAACCATGAAACATCATTTTTGATTTTTAATCAGTAGCTGTATTTCAAATTTTTATATTTCAAACTTTAAATAATAAAAAAAATATATACATACTATTAAACAAATTTTCACCTCCCATTATATGGCCGTTCGCTTTGAGCAACTTATTTAACTATAATATCATTGACCCTGTCAAAGCTCTAAGACAGCAATTTTGAGATGTCGTTGGAATGCCTAATACCAAACCATGTCTTCACAGGCACAATGTGATTGTTTTTTAGGATTAGGATCTAAAATCTAGCAAAAGATAAAGTTTATAGATCAAAAATTCTGTTTAAAATTTTTAAAAATCGATAGAGAACCTGGAAAGAAAATATGAGATACCTCACAGTTGGCGTCCGGAAGTACTACTTGTTTTTCGAAGCCAACTACGATACAGCTTTGGTAACGTCTTTGTTTTAAATTCTTCAGTTACATATTCAACTATGTAGTTTTCAAACTATAGCTACCGATGATGATCTAATGTGTTAAATTTAACAACGTTTTTATAATATTCATATTGATTTATTGCAAACGTAGACATTCTAAAACAACCTATCGACATTACGACTGAACCCGTTTTTTGTTCAAATCGAGTATTTCTATTAACAAAGGCTCCACGTGCGATGGATGGATATTTAAATAAACGCTAATTAATTCTTCATTCACCCTTCGGAGTTCTGAGAGTTTGTGCATTAATTTTAAAAATGTCGATTTCGCTTCGCATCCCGGATGAATGCTTTCGAGATATCTTCGTAGGAGGTAGTAATAAGCATTCTGAAAAGTAAATAATGGTCATTCCTACAAACAAATGTGCATAAAACAAATACTTTTTGCCTAATCTTTTATTGCATTAAGACTAAAAATATAATAAAATCATCAAATATTAAAATTCATCAGTCATATATGGGATATGTCACAAACTTTTTTGATAATATTGAAAACTGTTATAATGAAGTTGTTTTGGCCTAAAAAATTGAATTTTGTACTTTTTCCAAACTTTGCACTACAGTCGCATTGAAGTCTTCAAGTTGATATTTATTATATGAGGCACTATCAATAAAAACTAATAAATTAAACCTAATTTCTATATTTAACTGCAGAACTGTACCGTTTTGAATTTTTTTTTTGAAGATTAATTTTAAATAGGAGCCGTAGAAAAAATATGTTTTTATAATAATACCTGTTCTAGTTTTATCACATCTTGATGAACAATTGTAGGCCGATCAGGAGAAAATAAAAGTATCATACATAAGATTAAAATAATATTTTCGTCTTCTTTCCACAAGGGACTGAAAGTTTTTATGAACCTGTCGTGCTCCTTATAAATATTTCCTTTTGCCAACTTCAATACATCGACATTGACGCTGAGAGTTTCGACAGAATGTGGAATCTAAAAAGTTTTGGAACATAATTAGAGCATAAAAGTATTACACCTAATTATAGAAGAAGAAAAAAATATTTATTATTGATTAGGGGGTAATCTCAAAGGGCTTTCGGCCCATACTATTATAACGAATAAAATCTGTAAAGGTATAAAAATAATCTTTTGTATTTCATCATCTTTAGTGTTAACTATAAGATAATAAAAATTAATAATAACGTGTATGTTTATGGGAATCGTATTATACATTATAGGGGTCATATAAATAAATGACCTTGTGCAGTAACGGTGTGTTGGTAAGTCATTATTATCTTTTGAGGTATGGTATTTTGTAGAAGCACTCGGGTAATATATTTGATTTATATCAAAAATTCGTCCTTTGTGTATATATAAAAATGTAGTTTGAATACAATTATTTTAAAAAAGATTTTCTAGAGAGAAAATGGATAATGACACTGCTTAGATAAATTCAGTAACATTTGTACTCCGAGAATTTTCATAACATCAGCCTATTAGGAAAGTCATTGAATTTATTCCATACTTTTTCTACACTTCATTATCCTGCGCTGTTTCTATAAACTTTTCTCAGACGTTGCATTTCAGCTACATTTATTCAAAATTGAATACATAATTATTAAAAACCAAAAATTTCCATATTTACCTGCCAACTGTGTTTCTTTGAATCATAATACATGGCACTTCTGAGCATCATCATTTCTGTACAACCACCTTTCAATAATGCCACTTGGTCTTCTTGACACATGTTTCTAAATGCACCTATCTTTTTGGCCATTTTTATCAATCTTCTAACGTAAATTGTTGTCAAATTGATGACGTCAACCAAAGCAGCGGGTGCCGAATCGGTTTTTTGTTGAGGCTTCTGAAACAGTTCAAAATGCATGTCTTTCCTAGCTAATGCCTCATAAAACCAGAAAATTATTCTTTATGGTTATTACCTACCATGTTCGCCATAGCGATCAAATGTTGAAAGTCTTCATCGACAGGTGTGAGAAAAGCCTTATTTGCAACGATCAGTTCATTCAATTTTGCTCGTTCTGCATCGTTTAATTCCCTGGAATTAGAAGGACTTTGGGACATTGAAGAAAACGCTTGGAATTCTAATTTTATTGCTTCACATAAAATCGATTCAATAGGATTGCTGCGATCATCCGATTGCACGCTGAAATAAAAATATTTATGTCGTTTTGATACTCGCTTAGCTGTCTCTTATGATATACGGATGGATCTAAAACTAACAAGGGAACAGGCTCTGGCGTACTTGGAGTTAAACCCAAATGTGACATCATCATATTACTGGAAAAACATACCACTGCATTTCAGGCTGAAATACATGCAATCGAATTGTGTGTACGAGAGAATTTAAGAAGGAAGTACAGAAAACAAACCAATTTAATTCTCTCAGATAGCCAAGCAACCTTAAAGGCCCTTGGTTCAAAGAGAATCAAGACAAAGCTGGTCAGGAACTACCTTGGATTACTAAATGATCTGGCAACCCACAATAAGGTACCAGGACATAAAAGTATCCAAGGAAATGAAAAGGCTGATGAACTCGCTAGAAAGGAACCAGAACTACCATTCACAGGAGCTAAACCTGTATCTGGGATAAGCAAAAGTTTTGCTTGACAGCAGTGAACAGGTGGATAACCACAAAACACCAAATTCACTGGCAACAGATAAGATGATAAAGAATCAGTAAGCCCATGCTAAGAGGACTAAACCTACGCATGATATTGCTGAGGTACTACAACTCGCAAGGCCTCAGATAACCACCATTGTAGGATTACTAATGGGACACTGTTTACTATAACACCTTCATGTGACGGGATTACACAATGATCCTACCACGTGTTGACTGCATGGAAGGGGAAGGAACCTCATACCTTATATATTCGAATGCGAAGCTCTTACCAGGGGGCGCCTCACGTTTTTCTGCTTAGAACCGGAAAGAACGCCCCAGGAACACTTGGTAGGGAACTTAGTAAAACTAACCAAAGGCTATTCCAAAGCTAGTACCTGAATATGGCGAAAGCAGGGGAATACAATAGACCCAAGAGGCCGAAGTGTTCTGGACCAAATCTAACCCTGCCTGCTTATAACAGCTTTTATGAAAATAACGTTCTAGACAGTACTGAATGAAAATTTTTCAATTTTCAACTTATTTCTATAAATTGGGATACAGTGTATATGATTGTAATTATTTAATAACTAATTCTGTAGACTGTTTACAAGTTTAAAGTCTGTAGTCATGAAAAATATGTAATAATTATTGCGAACGAGTCGACATTATCTCCTCAATAATGTCGCTTCGAAACGTGGAAATCTAATGAATCTGGCATTCTCAAAGGGACACTTTGCTTAAGAGTCCATTCATAAAATTGCAGTTTCCCTCGCCGTTACCGTTTGTTTGACGTTGCAGTCGCCGTTGAACTTAGAACTTTGTTATGTTTGAATGTGCAACAACAAATGGTGACAGCAACAGAGAATATAAGTGCGCAAAAGCGAAATTAGCTTTTTAACTTTCAACGGGAACTGCAACTGCGAGCAGTAACTGCAAATTTATAAATCGGCCTTTAATGCCTCGGCTGATTTCTGAGAGGTTGACAAAATGCCACGCAATATGTTACGTCACTTCAATCAATATTTTATCATAGAATTTTTACTTCGTAGCTTTCGGAAGCTAACAAATTACTCATAGGTAAACACTTGTATTAATCTGTACAGGTCCTTCAAAAGTTTTATGTGTCTGCTGACACATTTATAAAATACATAAGGGAAATAAAGGAATCAATTAATACCAGAACAAGGGAACATAATTGTCTGTGAATCATAATAAATTAATTAAAAGAATATTTTTTTATTTAATTAAAGCAAAAATGTACTAACTGAACACCTGTTATAGGTACTTTAAAATTCAAACATTAGTTTGGAATATTATCTGTAATTAAGATAACGAAACAGTACTTACAACCATTTTTATCAGCATGTGTGTCATTTAAATTACTCATTGATTGAATATGGACCGTTTAAAGAATTTTATCTAAATTGGGCAAATTTAAAAATATTGTGAATGCAATTATGTTGTTTAAAACCTTTAAAAAAAAAAAAAACTAAAAACTGTCGTTTTCGGCAATGTTTGTTGTATTTTCTAAGCATTGCCGAAACATTTCCTGCATTGCCGAACCATTGCCGGCATTTCCTATACATTGCCGACCTCATGTATTACTAAAATATTCTTTACTCCCAGAAGCTAAATTACGAAAATGTATGTTCGTTAGAACATTATTTAGGCTTTAGTTTTAATTTTTCATACCTAATATAACTCAAGAAACAATTCTTTCAAGCTGTTGTCAATAATTCTAATAAGCTTCAGGACGTTGAGTTCAACTACGAACTTTAAATTGAAATAAAGGATACTGAAACGTAACGGTATAAAAAAATATAAAAACCTTTTACAATAGTAAACCTTCCACTATAAATAATTAATAAAAAATGTTCATGTCTTTTTTTTAAAGTTAAATGGATGCCTTGAATAATGCTAAAAATATTGAATTATCTCAGCCACAATATTCTAAAAGTTTTATGAGGCATTTATGCACCTTTTGCACAATTTACTTGATTAAACTCATCAACAATATTTTGGGTCTTATTCGAAACACCATTTTTAGGATCATATGTTTTAAAATTAGAGAAGAATTAAAAAACTGCATAAACAATATTACTTTCTTTGCTCCGTGCTTTTCTAATTGTTTCACTTCTTTAGGTAATTCAGAGTTGGGTTGATTTAAATCAGGCGATATTTATAGTTAAACATATGATTTAAATCAAATTAAATAAACAAATAACCTCAGTTGCATGCTTGTAAAACTAATTTATTAAAAATTATTATTCGGAATATTTTTAAAACTATGATTTAATGAGAACAGTAGATTTAAATCACAAAATACTAGAACGTGACAACAATTACCAAAACACTAGATCTACTGTAGAAAAAGTATATCAGGAAACACTGGCTGCAATCGCATTTAATGGATGGGTGGGCTGTTGAGCACAGACATAAACGTCCCAGTTTTCATTCTACAGGGTGATAAAGTGAATTTCATAAATACGTATTTTATAAATATCTTCCCTTACAGAAAAGACTTTAACTTAAAAAAATGTATATGATAGTTAATCGTTATTATTAGTTAACACACTATTTCGATAAATTACCATAACCCATTGGTGTAGAATGAAGGGCTAAAGAAACAATTTTATTCAAAACTTTTTGAACACCCTATATTTCATAAAATTTAAGATTCATAAATCTTTCTCATGCCATTTGTCACAAAAAATGGACTTCTGGATGATCTTTGTAGACCTTTCCATTTCCGAGGTGATAGAACGGATTTATTTTATACATGAAACATTTCTCAAATATGGCTAATTTTAAGTTCAATTTACTCAATTTTGTCAAATGCAACACACTGTATATTATTTTCGCATAAAATTCCTTATAAATTTACCTAACATGTCCCAATAGAGCGTAATTGATCGATAGCTGTTTTATTATTGGAAATAGGAAAAACAAATTAATATAAAAGTTGTATGACCATGTTTAATAAATGTTCTAAAATATACAGGATGGTCCATAAACGAGGGATTGACCAAATTTATACATTTTTATATTTAATTGTTTTCACATCGTCAAACAACTTCAATAGACTTAATTTATTTGCTATGTTGTATATAGAGTGTTTCAAAATAAGGGGTAATAATTTTCTCATTTTTTTTAAATAGAACACCCTAAATGTCATACCACCAATTAATTAATACAGGGTATTCCATTTAAAAAATTGAGAAAATCTTAACCTCACGTTTCGACACACCCTATATACAACATAGCAAATTAATGAAGTCAAGTAAAATTGTTTGACATAAAAACAATCAAATATGTATTACTACTTGCTTTAAAAAAGTAAAGATTTGGTCAGCACCTCGTTTATGGACCACCCTGTATATTTAAAAATATTTGTTAAATATGGCCATACAACTTTTATATTAAACATTTCTTCGTATTTCTAATAATGAAACAGCTCTCAATCAATTATGCACTGATGGGACACCCTGAATATGTGTTATTGACTAACACATTGGTATTGTTACATATGCAAATTTATAGGAAATTTTATGCCAAGATAATATACAGTGTGTTGCGTTTGAAAAAACTGAGTAAATTGAACTTAAAATTAGCCATATTTAAGACATGTTTTAAATCACTCTGTATAGAATAAACCAGTTGTACCACCTCTATTCATTAGCTTACTATTTTATAAGTTTGTATATTAACCAATTTTCAAATTAATGTAATCCCACCTAAATTATGATAATTTAATTTAGGATCTGCATCATTCTCTAATTTAAAAAAAATTCATAAATACAGTATTCCCAAGCCATTCTAATAATAAAATAGAATATAGGGTGTTCTATTTAAAAAACATACATTTTTATTTGTCAGGCAAAAAGGAAACACCCTGTATATTTTTCAAATCCATAAAACTATTAAAACTTTTTTACTTGTCAATAACACAAATTTAAATATTGAACAATTGAGAAACTCTTTGTTTTATTGTATTTATTTTATCTCTCTATTTTTGTTTAGTATAACGTTTAAAAAAATATTGATGTTGACTATGGCTTGGGGGGTAATTACTCCCATTAACCCCCCCCCCCCTTATCTACGCCCTTGTTGGCAACAAGGGAAAAAAATTGTGCTGATTAAGAGGTTTAGTGATGGGAAGACCCGGTTCATTTTGACGACCCGGGTCAGATAAGGTCAATCATTTGAATGACCCGTTCACAAAGATTCGTTCATATGAACGATATGATCAGTGAATAAAAATTTATACATCGCCTATGATTTGCACAGTACGCGCTGATGGTAAGTCTGTGATGGTAAGACTCTGTCGGCTCTTTTTATGAACCGGATCATAATGGTTACAGTCTCGTCTCATCTCAGTTTATTGTTAAACATTCGTAATTTGTAACAGATATAGATGGATACAGATTTATGATTATGACTATATTATATTATGAAGCCTTTTTTACTTCTTTCTCGTTTCAGTGTTTAATCGATCGCGATCACGAATCACTACCACGTCATCACGATCATCGTTCACTACATTACATTTTCAGTCATTCATTATATTCTGTTCAGTCACCAATCAATCGGTGAAAAAACATCTCTTCAATTCATAAGCACATTAAAAATCTCATAAATAAACAGGGTCATATGAACAATAGGGTCACGAAGAGTGATTGAATCGATCACGGGTCTTCGGGATGATTCGTTCTTTTTGAACGGGTCGTTCATGAACGACACATCGCTAAAGAGGTTAGGTATCAATACTTGTTAACTGTTAAAAAAATGATGAAAACAAATAATAATTATAACTCTATTACTAATTAATTATGCCAGTTATTAGTACTTGCAAAAACACTTTAATTAACATGAAAGTTACTTAATCAAAAGTTAAGTAATATATTTGAATAAGGATAATTTCCTGAACGTAGCAGAATTTTATATAAATAATATTTAATATTTTGAGGATCAACATGACATTTTTAATCATATTACTGTGTATACGGAAGTAGTACTTATTTAATATTAGTAATACCAGATAATAAATAAAAAATAAAAAAATACACTCAAAAATAATATACCTACCTGTCGATCTAACTGTTGACAAGGGGATATGGCTGGACACTTTTTACCAATAATGCACATTTTGAACATGTTTTAATAAGTATTTTGCCTGATGATTTGATAATTTTTTTACGATATTGCAGTCAAGGCTTTGGAAAATTTATAAAATATGTATTGCCTTTGAATGATTTATGCCCTATGTCACTTTTATGTACTCCATAACACCATTTCATTGTTTCTTTTCATAGAGATAACATAATTATAATTGACTGCAAAAATTTATTTTTCAATTAAGACACTTATTACTTTATGTTTCCTTCCTTTTTTTTTAAATTAATATACTTAATTTAATATTTATCGATTATATTTTTTTTCACATGGGCATTTTACCATGCTTGTTTTCAAAAAACAGTACAAAAAAGAGGGATGATACTGATGCACGCACACAAAAAAAATTGTAATAAAAAGGTACATCCTCAAAGTACCCATAAACTGAAATTCCAAGATGCTTACCTTTGCACATCATTCATAACACTAGAAATATTTTCAACAGATGAAATTTCTTCTGAATTGTCTAAGTTTCTATGATTACTTGAGTTTTTTATTTCACTGGTACAGCTTATATTGTTTTGACTCAAACCATTACTATTAGCAGCATTTAAATTTAGGTCACAATTAAAATTAGTGTCTTTTACAATTTTATCAATGAGATCTGATGCATCGAAGACGTTTTTAAATGTAGGTATATCATCACTAGATGAAACTTGATGATATCTATCATTTGGTGAAGATATACTATTATTCTCTGTAGAGTCTATAGAAACTTTAGGATCATTAGTCACTTGATTGTTTTGAGGTGAACATTGGTCTAAATTCGTATGATTAGAATCTGAATCTGTGTTGTACTGAGATTCGATTTCTTGTGAATCAGCCTCGATAAATTCTTGTTTGATTTTTTTAAAGTTTGATTTAAATTTGCCCATACTTTGCTTCTTTACTTTGTTCTCTTCAATTTTCTGTCGTTTTGCTACTTTATCTTTTTCAGACATTATTAAATCCTTACACATTCCAATTGAAAAACACTTATCCAACCTACATTTTTGGCAAAATCTTCTTGTTATTGTAGTAATATCACATTGATTGTTAAATGGGCATTTGAGAGGTTTTTTAATAAGAGCATTTCTTCTAAAAAATGCTTTACAGCTCTCACATGTTATTGCGTTAAAATTGTGTCCAAGAGCTTTGTCACCACAAACACCACACATTTTTAGGTCCACCTTTGAGGATTTCATTTTTCTTCAGGATTGTTTTTGATCTAAATATTTCATTACAGATTACCTGATTCTTTACTAAAGTCATTCATAGTGATAACGATAACGAGTTATTTCGTTGAATTATAATTTGTATATAAATCCAATTAGATTATGAAGTGTTTTGACCTTGTCCCCTGTGTTCAAATCACATTATTTATTTATAAATAAAACGTCACTGTCATTATCAGCTGTCTTATTTTTGACATTTATGAAAGATGACATGTTTACTCACTTCCTTTCAAGGACTGCATACTAGAGTAGAGGATAGATTAGTGTCATAAGAAACCACATGGCTTTCTTTATGGTATGGTTGTGACGTACTCAGTCACCATAGCAAGTATACCACTGGGGGGCTATTTTCAAACTCGAGAGAATTCATTTCCATCAAGAGAAATGTCATACGTCAACGTAAAACCGTATTTTTAGGGCTCTTAGGGCCAGTGTGAACTCACTGACTGTTTCTCTCGGTTTATTTAGAGATAATTAAAATTCTCCTAAGAATTTTAATCCTCGATGTCTTTAAATACAGCGTTTCCACATTGACGTATGACATTTCTGATGATAATCTTGAGAGAAATGAGTGCTCACATACTTTGAAAATAGGTCCCCTGAAGTATATGCGTTTATATGTACCAAATTGAAGAGTTTGGTGATTTTCTCATGGATTCCATTATCCAATCTTGACCAAATTTATATGGGATCACCGTTGAAATACTCTAACAAAAAATAATAAAAACAGGACGTCTTAAAAATTATCGCAGTACATAAAAATATACTGAAAAATCGAGAACCTCCTCCTTTTAAGCTATTGCATAGCTTTTATCGCGGGCTTTGAGCGTGGCGACCGAATCAAGAAATTCCGTAACAAAAATAAACCTAACACCCCCCACTCCGACCGGCACAGCGGTGCGGCGTTGAAAGCCGTGCATCGTCTAACGTCGTTTCAGTTCGGCAGACTTCGGCACGATGTTTGTATGCGTGCGACTAGACGTATGCGTGTAGACTAGCTGCTAACTGCTCATAACTGATTGTCTCTTTTAGACACAATTTCGGAAAAATTGAATTTGAAAATGAATAATGATCCACAAGAATCCACAACAAAATATGGGACCACCATTGACGTGGTATTTTCCAGATATTTAGAGGATATCAAGTCTCAAACTTATGTTTCTTATTTCAGTTACCATAAACCTATAGTTTCAATGATAAAAGTTCCTGAATAACCTACATGTATTGTAAGATAATAAAAATATTTTAAACAATATTAACTTCTCATTTATCCAATAAAAGAAAAAAATTGTTTTCTTATCGGTCACCACGCTCAAAAAGTGTAACTTGAATTAATATCAAAGAAAAAACTCGAATTAATATCAAAGAAAAAAATACTGCATAAATAAAATAAATAAATAATTATGCATAAGTTGATAAAAAATGCTATGCAATACCTTTACCGCGGCAGTCCCCGAGTGCCACACGTATTTTTTTTTAAGTCGATGTACCTATATTTGTAAATTTTAAATTAATTAAATGAGTCTAAAAATGTACAGATGGTGACGTAACGACTTCCCTAATACGGCAAAGAAATCAGGGAACTCAGCTATCCTTTAGTAGTATACAGTCATTGACTTTCTCCCCCTTTCATATATTTAAAAAATATATATAGAATTGTTCATTTTTTAAATACAATTTATTTATCATGTTATAACATGAGTTTGAGAAAAAAGCCACATGGAAATATAGTTTATTTGTTTAATACAAACAGAGCAATAATTTCTTTTTTTATTCCACAATTTCAATAAGTCATGTAATATGTTGCCTCTCATTGTCTCTGCCACTGATCTGTAACAACGCTGCTGTAGCAACAAGCTTTATGCCGGTGGCTTCATTGCCAAATTAATTTTTTCAAATTTTTTTCTATATATTTTTTATTTACGAGACTAATTTTAAAACAATTTAAATTATTTCAATAATTTTTTACAAATTCGACTTACCTTGTAGGTGTATTTGACATACAATACTCCAGATCGAAATATTTGAATTCAATCTATTAGAAAATACATATTATGAGTTATTGAAAATAAAGATAAGGGGATAGATTGAAGAGAAAACCTATAGCCTTAGAAAAGGCAAAACAAAAACCGCAGAAAAATTAAAAGAAGAAATAGTAATAAAAAAAGATTGAAAGGGCTTGGATTAAAAAGCTTTAGACCACCTAGAAACAGAATCTCTCATCACAATTTTATTTTGGCTTGTATTTTAATAAAACAAAAATGAATAACAAGAATAAATGTATTTTATTTGCCTAACAACTTTTACATAAACTATCTTAAACCATAATTACATATATACTTTTTTCAAATAATGAATTTGGATTATTTCCTGCAAACAAGCATTGCGGCACATGCAGCTTTGTTTTATTAATTACTAATTTAGGTCCATTTGCACCACTAGTCTTTAAGAAATAAGCGAAGCTTAAAATGACAAAGAAACATGTTGTTTTAAGATTGTGTTATTTCTTAAAGACTAGCAGTACAAATGAACCTTACAATATTAATATTTTGTATCACCTGAAAACAAGTTCACTTACTTTATTTGCAGGGGGTGTTGATATGAGAATATAAATTTAAAAATGCAATAATTTTATAATGAACTCACAGAATCAGATTTACTTGGGCCCGGACCAATGAGTTCAATTTCACGCTTAATTTCTAGTTCAGTCTGCATTTTAAATAACTTCTCCCTTTCTTTAACCTGTTGTAATTTTTCTGATCTTTTCTTCAACTTTGTACTTCTTTCATGTATTTGTTTCATATCTTTCTTAATATTGACTAATTTATTATGGTATGTATTCATTTTCTTAAATAATTCTTGAATTTCCGGTGAATACTGCACTTCTACTAAGTTCAAATTTTCTTGGTGAATTTGGGACATTATCTTATTTTGTTTGGATGTTAAATCTTTTAGGCGATTTTGAACATTTAACAAAGGTGGTTTATAAACACCTATTAATCCATTGGATAGATTGTTAACTGATTGTGTATAAGGGTTAATTTGATCGTCAGTAGTACTCATTTTTTAATAATTATTTCTAATATATTATTTGATTTTATATTTTAATCAAAATATAACCTAAAAATGTTTTGACATTCTTCATCTTTTCTTCTTCTTTTTTTTAGTAAGGTAATAGATTAGAAAGCCAACTATTCACTACATGAAGATTCACTAGTTCTGTGATTCACTAGTTCAAATTTTCTCTAGTATGCCCCTCACATGAAATAGTTTTTAACAGTGGGCGGCCCTATAGTTTTATTTAAGAAGATACATTATACATTATTGAAAAAACGGTTTGCTACAGAAAGGTTTTTACTAAAAATCACTTACAAATCATTTTAAAGAGAGTTCAGAAGAAATTTCTAAAGCATTTACGATAAGATATTTGAGTAAAAGGTGCCGACTTTACCTCAGAAATACTCTTAAGAATCCCTTATTGGGGATTTTAACTATACAAAAGTGCTCTTGGTTGTGTTTAATGCTGGTAAAAAAACATCTTATGCTTTCAAATGTAAGGTGGACAAAGCTGCAATTAATTTAATAACATTGAATGATAATTGCAGAATATTCTAAAACATTAACATTAGCCTTTAATTTCAGTTTAGGTTCAGTTCTATTCCTCTGATAATTTTTGTTTGTAAAAATTGTGTTTGTACAGAGCAACACTACATTCCGCTCTAGGCATGCTTACATTTTAAATTATTTCAGGCTTTAAACAAAAATGAGGTCCGAATGCCACACCCTAACCCAAAGTGTTTAAAATAAGCCAGTAACACAATAATATTTCTCTTTATAATTCAAATAAAAAGTACCCAATAAACACAGTTAATTGTCATCGTAACTGTGCCGAAAGAGGCTTGAGGAAGGGCATGTCCGCCCATCCGAATATGTCGACAGCCTACTACATTATAGCCGCGTTCATATATCTATATATAGTGCGAGAAGTAGCAGAGGCCGTAGGCGTATCATACGGAACGGAAATTAATATTTTGCATGATAAGTTACACATGAGAAAGGTAACGGCCCGATGAGTGCCGAGATTGCTTATGGTGGACAACCAGCGGATATGGCTGTCAATGTCGAAGCAGTGTTTGGAGCTCTTTAATCGAAATTCGCAGGAGTTTTTGCGTCGAGTCGTCACCGTTGATGAAACCTGGATACATTATACGCCTGAGACCAAACTACATTTGAAGCAATGGATTTTTCGGGGTGAATCTGCTCCGAAGAAAGCAAATACGGTCCCATCGGCCGGAAAGATCATGGCCACGATTTTTTGGGATTCCAAGGGGATAATCCTCATCGACTTTTTGCAGAAAGGAAGTAAGATCACAGGGCAGTACTATAGTGAATTATTGGACCGATTCGATGCAAAATTGAAGGTGACACGGCCTTATTTGGCTAAGAAAAAAGTCATGTTTCACCACGATAACGCACTAGCACATTCATCGAAAATTGTCGCGGTCAAATTGCAAGAACTGCAGCACGAATTGCTGCCGCACCCACCGTACTCGCCCGACTTGGCTCCATGCGACTTTTTTTCTATTCCCCAACATGAAAACGTGGCTCGGGGGAAAAAATTCAGCTCTAACGAGGAGGTTATCGTCGAGACTGAAGCGTATTTTTCGGAGTTCGAGAAATCATATTTTTTGGAGGAATTAAATAAATGGTAGAAACGTTGGGAAAAGTGTATAGCACTAAAAGGAGATTACGTTGAAAAATAGAAATACATTTTTTTTTTGAAAAACTTGCCTCTTCCTTTCTAATACGGGTACTTTTTGATCCACCATCCTATATAAATTAGTGTATGCGCTAGATTATTCTCTTTCTCACCATTTATTAGACAGGCTATTCCAGCAATTTATCGAATTTACTTCTAGTACATTTCCGAATGAATGATTCTTTATGGCTATCTGTAAACACAGGCATCCCTATAGTTGGGTAAAGGGGGTTTATACTCTTCATCAAATATTCCTGGTTTTAAGGACACGTGGGGTCGTAACAAGACTCCAACAAGGCAGAGGGACCCAAAGGATCAGAACATGGCTAGATTGGTCGGAAATGACTCAAATTACAGTGTGAAAATTGGAAAACTACAATTCCAAATCGAATTTCAATCTTTATTGTGTGTGCCTTCCTGCCGATTGGCCATTTTTTCCCAGTCGATAAGAATTAGAGTAAAATAACCTAAGTCGTTTTCCCAATTTTTCGTTTTTGGTTTAGTATATGTATCAAAAATTATGACACCGTTTCGAAGGGAAAGCCAACGAGCGTTGGGATAGGTATAGTTTATAAAGAAAAATATCATAAAACTGTAATATTTTATTAAGTCCTTTTCTTTTCACAATAACGTTGCAGGTGGTGTACAACTAACAACAATCAAGTCGGTTCACTAAGACTTATCATTATTAATATTATTATATAACAACGTGAACAGCCTTACTAACTATAGGTACTCAGGCAACTACAACGTGTTGTTTCACAGCTGTATGAAACAGTTACTGGTAATAAGTGTATGAATACAAAAAGTTTTTATTTTTCTACTGTGTTTTTCGATACAACCTTTTATAAAGTTACAGTTTGCCTCATATTTTTTAGAGAAAAATGATCAATGAAAACAAAAATTTAATAGAAAACTTTCGATGCTTCACTTCTATAATTTCTCATAATTTTTTTTTAATTTTGTTTAAATATTATGTAATTTTATTGTCTTCAATTTAGCATTTTTTATTTTAATATACAAAAATTGAATTTGAAAAACTTTAAGATAGGTACATATCAATATAACGCAGTCTTTCCCAAGTTGTATCAAGCTGGAATTTGATTAAAGGTCGTATTCAAAAACGAATTTTAAAACTAAATAATTTATCGAATCAACAACAATATCTACAATACAATTTAATATAATGCGAATATCATTTTGTTTATTTAAGAGCCAGTGTTGCCTCAAAATTTGACTCCATACTTTTTCTTCTTAATAAACTTTTTAAAAATAATTTGTATTTTAAATCCTACTTGAGGAATTTTGGAATAAATTTTTTTGTTCCTGTCTGTCAAAATTTTAAGTAGCACTAACTCTTAGTTTAACATTGTGGTTATATTCTCGTTTCAACGAATTTTCCAGATTTTGCTTGGTTTATATCACTAGCTTTAGTTAAATACTTATGTGTCACTTAAGCAAAGCCAATAATGGAATCCATTTTAACCAAAATAGTAGTTTATTTTTACGTTTCAATAAAAAGTGATTATTCATGGTAAAATCTTTATTTAAATGAAAATTTGAGAAATGTTCGATAGCGTAATAACGAAATTTATTTATTGAATTGATGGGCTAACAATTTTTTAAATACATTACTGTTCCTATTCCCAGTGTAGGTTTAAAATAGGCTCCGCCTTTTGGTGGCATTCACTTAAAACCTCTCTTAAATTGAGCTAGAATTTTAGATTTCTGTGAATTAATTTGTGCCCTGTTTCCACGCTATTGAATATTTCATCAATGCAATATGGCTTTAACAATAGTCAATGTAATTAACTATAAACTAAATTTATTTTATTCAAATTAGGAGAAAAATATTAGTTTGTGTTTAACTATTAAATGGCCCGCCCGTTCAGTAAAGGGCATGTATTATCTATTTACATAAATATTTTTATAATTTCAACTTTTTCGTCATTTAATTTTAAATATGGTCAACGTGGATTCCATATCATCACAACAAATTAAAAAAATCTAATAGAACATGGTCAATCCTATTAGATATTTTCAACATCTGGCCGTTAGTGATTTTTTTTATGTAGATAAGTAAAATTATATGGATTGTTTCACTAAGGTATATGTGTCGTTGTCTCTAATTTAGATAAAAATTTACGCAATCGTTACAAAAGTGGTACGATATTCGGCGTTTTTGATCTAAATTTCATTTTTGTGCGAATTTTAACAAGCATCTAATATATAAAAAAGGAGCTACCAAAGTGTGTTGTTTCATTATTTTAACTGGTTTTGTGTAAATATCTTTTAAAAAAACATATTCATGTGACAAAATTAGACTTGTTTAAATAAAACTTTACTGGTGTAATTGGATCGGCAACCCACCTTGCTTTAGAAGGCAAGTAAAGCTGGTGGTCTCTGCCAGTAATAGTTTCAGCCAGTGGTACTCTTTCTAAAATTTAGTTGTGTGTTAATTTTCTTCAATTATTTCGAATTTAAATAAACTGAAACATATTAAAGTTTAAAATATATTAAAACATGTTGTTAAATCATTTGACCAATACTTGCAACAATCAATTTTTGCAAGTCTGTGGAGAGTTTTGACATCTGACCACGTAAAAGTAAAAGTAATTCAACTCGTTCAACTCTCATAATAATAAGTAGGTTTCTTAGGTATCATTTAAAATTACTGTCATATGACAGATCGACTCGATTTTACTTATTATCACGGTCAAGAACAAACTCTTGGCTTGCGTCTGTATACTTGAATCGCATGATCAACCGTCTTGTAGGAATAGTAGGCATGTTTCTACTGATTTTTAGTAGAGTTACGCTTACTATTTTCATGAAACTGGCGAGCTTGCAACTCAGGAATGGTTGTGAAATTTAGCTGGTAAACAAGTTAACACTGTTTTATCCTTATTCTCCAAGATGGCGAGAATATCTTTTGACGTTTTAAATACTCTTTGAATCTTGGGTGATCAATTGGAAGAAACAACGTTCTAAAATCAGAAAAAAATACAATATAATCAGTTTTTTATATTTTGTTGGCGTGCTTGTTATTTAAGTGCAAATGTAAATAAGACACGGACACATTTTCTTTGGCTTTTCTTGAAGGGAAAGAGCGCAAGCAGCTTTTGAGATTCATTGTCAAAATTCGCACAAGTTATGTATAATTATTACAAGAAAACGCTGAAAAAACGGAATTAATATTAAACATTTATATCACACACCTGACTAAGTCGTACTACAATTGCTTATATTTTGTTACGTTTTAAAGGTGGATCTAAAACAACAACAAAGTAGGAACAACAGTTTG